GATTGGTTCTTTTTTATATCTTCCATTTCTTCGTTGACATTCTCACTGAGTTTATCCATTCTTCTCCCAAGATCAGTGAGCATCCTTAACACTCTTTGTTTGAACTGTCTGTCAGGTAGGTTGCTCATTTCTGTTTCACTTAGTTCCTTTTCTGGGGTTTTATCCTGTTCCCTTACTTGGAAATTATTCCTTTGCCTCCTCATTTTGCCTCTTTCCCTGTGCTTGTGTCTATGTATTAGGCAGGTCAGCTATGTCTCCTGCTCTTGGAAAGGTAAGTCATGCCTTATGAGGCCTGGCAGTGTGCTTCCGTCGGTTCTGAATGTTCCAGGAGTGACCCTTATGTGGGCTATGTATGTCCTTCTGTTGTGACATGGTTGCTTCCCTGTTGGTGCCCAGGGAGGATGAGCTATGCTCCTGGCCAGCTGTTGTAATGCTCAGCTGCTTGTAGTTGTTGTGGGCCCTTCAGTCTCTTTATCGGGTATGGGAAACCCCAGCACAGTTGGGTGCAGGTTCTAATAGCACATTCATGTTGCAGTATTTCTTTCTTTCTTTTTTTTTTTGGGAGGGAGATGAGCCTTGAGCTAACATCCATGCCAAACATCCTCTTTTTTGCTGAGGAAGACCGGCCCTGAGCTAACATCTATTGCCAATCCTCCTCCTTTTGTTCTCCCTTTTCTCCCCAAAGCCCTAATAGATAGTTGTATGTCATAGTTGAACATCCTTCTAGTTGCTGTATGTGGGACGCTGCCTCAGCATGGCTGGACAAGCGGTGCATCAGTGTGTGCCTGGGATCTGCCAGTAGTGGAGTCGCGCACTCAACTGCCAAGCCATGGGGCCAGCTTGCAGTATTTCTTTTAAGTGAGTAGGCTCCCAGCGTGGCAGGTTGTTAGGCTCAGGGGCTTACAATTGCTATAAGCCTCCAGCCTTTAGGTCTCTTGTCAGCTCTCTGAGGATTATAGCTGGATGGAGCTGGCCTCAGGCCCGAGAGTACCCAATTGTTTCAGGCTTTGGAAGGTAGAGCAAACCCCCTATGTGGGTCTTTGAGAAGCACAAGTCTTCTTCAGCTGACAAGCCCCAGTGCCCACAGGTCCACACACACAGTCCCCACAGTCCTGCCCCACGTGTGTGCCCCAACCTCCTGAAGTGGACCCAGTCTCTCCAAGGTGGGAGCCCCACACACTCCACCACCACCCCCCCACACTCTCCACCCACTCCTTGCACATGTCCTGCCCCACAGATGTGGACCCACTCACCAGGCTACGGAGAATCCAGCCAGCTCACTTAGCAGGCCCACAAGTTGCCTGAGGGCTTGTTGTTGGGTAGTGCCAGTCCCTAGTGTGGGCTGCCTGCCCTGGCTGAGCTGGTGCTCTAGTGGGTGGGGCAGACCCTGGGCTAGCAGGCCCCAGGGAGAACTCCAATGGCATCTGCCAGTGTCTGCGTCAGCACGCCCACACCAGGCCACAACAATGGCTGCCGCCAATATCCCAGTCCCTGGAGAGGTCTCACCTCTCAGCGAGATGCACTCAGGGCCTATCAGGTGAGTCTCTTTTCACCAAAGCACTGTGCACCTTTCTTTCTGGTGATTTTAGGTTGCTTTCTGAAATGGATGAATTTGTGCATGGGCCCTTTAAGAGCCAGTTTTATTTTCTTTGTGAACCAGCTTTTCTGGGGGTACTCCCCAATGTTTTAGTAGCAAGCAAAGTCACATATTATTCCACTCATCTTGATTGTGTTGGGTCCAAAAAATGCCTACAGTGGGAGCGCTCCCTGGCTCACGTCCTCCACTCTTCCAGGGAGGGCTTTGTACCTTTGGGTTGCTCCTGGGCGGCCGTGAAGCTGGCAGCTTGTGAAGGTGGTGTTTTTTTCTCTCCAGAAGGGAATTTCTGTGTCTTCCACCTCAATTAGGATTGTCCTTTGTTGCAGGAGTTCCTCTTATCCAGTTTTCAGTTCTCTCTCAGGGGTAATTTTTCCATGAGTACTTGTCAACTGGCTGTGTCTGTGGGAGGAGGTGAGTTCAGAGTCTGCCTATGCCACCATCTTGACTTCTCTCTACTATTTCTTGATTTATTAATGTTAATTATTTTCACTGGCTTCCTGTTCTGACAGATGAAGATTTAACTCATTTGTACTCCTAATCTTGCCTTCTAATACAGTCATATTATTATTCTTAGTGCCTCTATTATCTTTGTAATCTTAACTCCTTTATTTTTGGTTTCATCAACTACTGACTTTCTACTTTGTAAAGTGAGGATTTGAAGTAAGGATATTAGTTCCCTAATCTTTCCCTTTTAGCTCTCCTCCACTCTCACAACTTCTATTATATGGTTTTTTTTGCACTGTAAAGGTTAATAATTTTAGACTGTTCTATGTCAATAACGAAATATTTTTTTTACTTTCTTTATATGTTGAATCTAAAAGTTTGAAGTCAATAATCAGTTCATACTTTTGTTTTATTGGATTTTTTAATTGCCTTTTCAGGATTTGTATTACCTTCTCTGACCATTGCCCACAGTTACTTCTCAAAGGCAGAGTCAGATCTCTTAAATCTCCTTTTTTCTGACCATCTCCTCTTGGACCTTCTGCACTACTACTCCAATGTCAACTGACCAATTGTCAGAGACTGCAGTCATTTGGGAACTTCTCTTCTTGTCTTTTTGGATAAAAATCTGTTTTCTGGACATTGTATCTTTTTCCTCTCATATACTGTACCCTATTTTTTTCTGAAGCACATTCTTAATTAAATTATTAAGAAAGAGTGCAGAGCAAGTTAATCTTCTGAGCTCTTATGTGCCTGAAAATGTCTATTTTAACCTTAAATTCATCTGATAACTTTTCTGTATATGAAAGCCTGAATTGAAAATATTTTCCATCAGCATTTGAAGGCTATTTAGTATCTTTTAGCAACCAGTGGTGTGCTCTGGTCTGATGCCAGTGTGAGGCTTATGCACATGGGTCCCACAAGAGTGTAACCAATGGAAAAAGAATTCTTAATCAGCTACCACCCCAAGGGCACAACAAGAGGCAACAGACTGAGGTGCACAGTCTTTCTGTGAAAGAAGCATATTAGCTTATGTTCATAGCTGCGGCCTGAGGGACAGGCTTCTAATTAAACTTACATGTAAGGGCCCACTGTAATCACCTCCAGAGACCTCAAAGGGCAGGTGTTATCTTTGCATTCCTCCTCTGCCATGCTCCAGAGTGCCAGTATCTCCTGGAAAGGAGCTTGTACATGTGTCTGGTGCCCTGGTTTTTGTAGCTGCCACTGAGGGGACACCCCTTGATGCCTAGCTCTGGCAGCCAGTAGGGCTTGTGTTCCTGGGTCCCAGGGAACTGTAACCAATGGAGAGACAGTTCTTGGCTGGCTACCACCCCAAGTACTGTGCAGATAGCAGACTGAAATACTCTCCCTGTCTTGCTTGTCCTGGAACTTCAGCCTGAGGGGCAGGCTTCTGGTTTGGCACACATCTAGGGACTTACAAGGCTGCACTCCAGGGATGGAGGCCAGTGGATGCCTTCTTTGTGCTCTACCTCTGCCTCCCTCTAGGTCACTTGTATCTCCCAGAAGGAAACATGCACACTTGTTTGGTGCTCCGATTTTTGCAACTGCTGCCCAGGGTACACCTCTAGATCACCTGGCTCTGGTGGCCAGCAAGACTTATGCTTGTGGTCCCACAGGATATATTTGCATACTTTATAAAAGCTGCTGCCTGAGGGGTCTGGCTTCCAATCAGCCTGAATCTAGGTGCTGATTGAGATCCTCCCCTTTGGGACACCAACAGGTCTTGGCACACTCTCAGCTACTGGGAGCCACTAAAAATAAAATAAGTTGCTTGGACAATTGCCAAGGTTTGTGAGACAACCAAGAAGTATGGCACTTTGAATGATAAGGTTCATCTCTTTTATAAGACCACTCCTTCAAGACTGGGAGAGGTGGCTGTTTTGTCTAATGCACAGAAACCAACACAGAGAGTCAAGGAAAAATGAAGAAATAGAGGAATATGTTCCAAATGAAACAACAAGATAAAACTTCAGAAAAAATCCTTAATAAAATGGAGACAAGTAATTTACTTGAGAAAGAGCTCAAAAGATGCTCATAAAAGATGGTCATAAAGATGCTCACTGAACTCAGGAGAAAAATAGGTACTTTTCACAGTGATAACTTCAACAAAGAAATAGAAAATATAAGACAGTACCAAATGGAAGTCACAGAGATGAAGAATACAAAAACTGCACTCAAAAGTACACTAGAGGGGTTCAACAACAGACTGAATGGAGCAGAAGAAAGTATCAGTGAACTTGAAAATAGGGCAGTGGAACTCACTCAATTAGAGCAGCAAAAGGAAAAAAAAAAATAAAAAAAAATGAAGATAGCTTAAGAGACTTATGGGACAACATTCACATTGTAGGGATCCCAGAAGAAGAAAAAGAGAGAGAAAGGGGCATAAAACTTATGTGAAGAAATAATAGCTGAAAACTTCCCTAACCTGGGGAAGGAAACAGACATCCATTGGAAGCACTGAAAGTTCCAAATATGATGAACCCAAAGAGACCCACACCAAGACACATTATAATTAAAATGTCAAAAGTTGAAAGGAGAGAATCATAAAAGCGGTAAGAGAAAAACAACTTGTTACATACAAGGGAACCCCCATAAGACTAAGGCGTCTAAGACTAAGATAAGATAAATGGGTCAATCCAACAAGAGGATATAACATTTATAAATATTTATGCACCCAACCCAAGAGCACTTAAATATATAAAGCAGATATAACAGACCCAAAGGGAGAAATAGGCAGCAACACAATAATAGTGGGGAACTTTAATACCCCACTTACATCAATGGCTAGATCATTCAGACAGAAAATCAATAAGGAAACATCAGCCTTAAAGGACATTCTAGACCAGATGAACTTAACAGATATATCCAGAACATTCCATTCAAAAGCAACAGATACACATTCTTCTCAAGCGCACATGGAACAGTCTCAAGGATAAATCATGTTAGGCCATAAAACAAGTCTTAATAAATTTAAGAAGATTGAAATAATATTAAGCATCTTTTCTGACCATAGTGGTCTAAAACTAGAAATCAATTACAAGAAGGAAACTGGAAAATTCACAAATATGTAGAGATTAAACAACATGCTATAGAACAAACAATGGGTCAAAGAAGAAATCAAAAGAGAAATAAAAAAATACCTTGAGACAAATGAAAAAGGAAATACAATCTACCAAAACTTATGGAATGTAGCAAAGCAGTCTTAGAGAGAAATTGATAGTGATAAATGCCTTCATCAAGAAACAAGAAAAATCTCAAATAAACAACCTAACTTTATACCTCAAGGAACTAGAAAAAGAAGACAAAATGAGGCCAAAGTTAATAGAAGGAAGAAAATAACAAAGATCTGAGCAGAAATAAATGAAATAGAGACTAGAAATACAATAGAAAAGATCAATGAAATTAAGATCAGTTTTTTTGAAAAAATAAACAAAATTGACAAACCTTTAGCTAGACTCACCAAGAAAAAAGAGAGAGTACTCAAATAAATAAAATCAGAAGTGAAAGAGGAGATGTTACCACTGATACCACGGAAATACAAAGGATCATAAGAGACTACTCTGAACAATTATACACCAACA